CGAAGACTCTTCTACTTGGGGAAGGAGTGAGTAAGGTTTTATGCCGCTTTTAGCAATATTCCAGCAATATCACAGCAGGGGACACCTGAAATTGGCTTCACACAATGTACCCATGTGGGGAATCAAACCAAGGCCTTCGTCGTGACGATCGATTGCTTTAACCACTAGGCTACCCCACTGCCCTCATGGAGGAAGGAGATGAGAAGCAAATATTCGTTGTCAACTAGACTGTTGTTTATTGCTACACTCAGCAATAGGAAGGCTTTGTGATAGCAACCTTCCAGTAACTGAGTCATGACCAGACAACCTAGTGGTCGATATTGTGAGCAACAATCCCAGTCATCAGCATACAATGATACAGCAAGCATTGTCACTAAGGTGACATAATGCCCCGCCACAAATTATCAAATCAAACTTAAAAAGTAATGAAAGTGAAGGCCGTAATTTGAGATGAAGTTAAATGTAAACAAAAACATGACCAGTCAACCTCTCTTGATATCTTGCTCTGTAGTTGTTGAAACGCACAAATATTTTCAAGACTCACTTTGACCTTGACATGAATGTTTTTGTGTATGAAACATGCAAAAATAGTAATTAAGAAAGTGCTTATTGAAAAACATTCAAGGGAAGTCTTGAAAGTCTATGAAGAAAATCCAGTGAACTGTTCTTGAGATATCTCGCTGACCATCTGAACATGCAGTTTAACATGCTGAAATCTTCAAAGTGTCGCTGTGACCTTGAAAATTATGTGAAGGTCACCAAAATCGACTGGGCCTTGCACCTTCCCTAGATGAAGCTTGATGTTGAATATGAAGAAAATCCAGTTAACGGTTCTTGAGATATCTCGCTGACAAGGGGAAACGGTTAAAGTCCCCTTGTGACCTTGAAATGAAGGTCAAGGTCACCAAACCTGACTGGGACCTTTCTTTTACTGTGATGAACCTAGGTACCAAATATGAAAAGAATCCAGTCACGGATCTTAAGATATTCCAATTCCTACGGATGGACGAACGGAGCCTAATTATATCCCCCGCTTTGCGCTAAACGCGCGGTGGGGGATAATAAACCAAGTTACCAAGCCAGACCAATTGATCTACTTGTTCACCACCTCTTACGGTCAGTACATGTTGATACTATCCATAACCAGGAATCACCACTGTTGGTTGGAGGGAAGAAGAGGGGGTTAGAGAGGCGACATACATTGCATCTTTCTAGGGGTCAATATTACATAGCTGAAAATATCAACATATGTCCAAGCTAGAATCCAGGGTCTAGGTATGATAAAAAAAACCCACAGAAATGCCATAATGAATGTTTTTAACTGTACCTGATCCTTGGAGTCATCATGTTCGGAACATATATGTAACAGGTGCTGAATCTTCAGAACATTGCCAGTGCCTAGAGAACAAGAAGAAACATACATCAGGAAGATTTGTCAGATTTATATACAAACTGCCTTGTAGTCTACACATAGCATCTGTTCTCTACTTCATACAATACATGGACTTTAAAATCTAGGTGTTTTTTTTGTAAGGATAATCTGGCATAGACTGCCTGAGTTGTTCTAGTTATGAAGAACTAAGCGGCAAACTTTCCCAAATTACAACTAGTAATTTGTTCCAATCTCCTGGACACAAATACCAACTGCATTTTCGTAGTTTGTGTATCCATTTAAGGTGACTTTACAGTACAAAAGAGTCAAGTGATTCCAAAACTAATTTGATAAATGTATTGCTTAGTTTCTATTTCAATTACAGCAAATTCCAAAAAGTATAATGCTTTGATCTGACAGATGAAACAGTTTCCATACAGGATGCACTTGCAGTTAAAGAAGTTGAAGTAGCACTATATAATGACCTCCACCGGTGTCTTTGAAATTTAGTCCTTTTGATTTTAATTTTGATTGGTATATTATTTAGACCAAAAAAGAAAGAAAGCATATATTTCTACATGCAAATGTGTAACAATTACTAAAATCTTGGGATGGTTGGCAGCTATGCAACCATGACCTCGTCCTGCCATACCATCAACACAGTATCTCCCATAACATCATCAGTGTATTTTGTACATACCTGCATATGCACACACATCAACCAGCATGGTGGCCATTGACTTGAGTGGTTCCCCCACCACCTCCAGAGCTACAAGTGTGGCATCCACAGAGTCTTGTTTACCTTCACAAACAAATGGTGGACTTGAAACATCAGTTTGAAAAGATAACTAAAAACACATCTAAAACAAGAATACATATGTTTCATGGATAAAAGCTTTTTATTCTTTACACACAGTTTTAGAGCTAATTCTTGCTACACCATTTACCTGATGAAGGAGCAAAAATGCCTTTAAGTGAAAAGACGCGAGTGAGTGAGGGAGTGAGTGAATATGGTTTTATGCCGCTTTTAGCAGTATTCCAGCAATACCACGGCAGGGGACACCAGAAATGACTTCGCACATTGTATCCATGTGAGGAAATCGAACCTGGGTCTTTGGCGTGACGAGCGAATGCTTTAAACACAAGGCTACCCAACCGCCTAAGTTCATAAATGAAATTGTCAGTTAAAAAGCAAACATCTGACACTTGGTGCAAGTAGTGAAAAAACATAAAATCGTACCCTGATATCTTACCTAAATAAGTTAATGCAAGCCCAAGAGCCAGGTATCTTGAGTATGTGTCCTTGAGATCTGCTTCAGACCTCTCCATCATGGTCTGTAGAACTGTAGATGTCACATCACCATTGCAACTCCCAACTGCTATCATGCCACAAGCCAAGGCAGCCATACCAATCACCTGCAAACAACAACTCCCATCTTTATACCATCAATACTTGAATGCTGTAAATGATCATAAGTATAAGATGCAGAACACTCAACCTTGATCGATCTACAACTTTGTTTGATGAACTTAGTTTGCAAAGTTTATACAAACAATGCAAGGGTCATAACTGAGGTCAATCATTCAAATATGTTGTTTGGTGAACTTAGTTTGCAAAGTTCATACAAACAGTGCAAGTGGAATGTCAACAATTTACTATGTGCCCAATTTGACAACACAGAAACATAACTGTAACCATGACAACACTTTTTGGGCAACTGCAATGGATAATTCCTATTACAGGGGTCAATTGTTCAAACATACATCGAATTGGTAAAAGTTCTGTCCGTATTGTCTGTATCCTTAAACATGTTAACACAACATATTTATAAAGATTTGGTTAACCATCCTTTTGGTTTGTATGAAACCTAGCCCTAGCAGAACAGGTCCATCAGTAATCCCAAAACATGAACCAGTCTAAAGTCTGTCTAACTGATAAACACAAACACAGATAACTGGATACAGAATGACACTTTCAACCTAATAATGTCTAGTAGTAGAAAACACGAATTTAGCAAAATGATTTTCTTTTGTAGGCTATAGGAATGGTAAAGATATAGTATAAATGTATTAAAATATACTACACTTAGTTTGCTAGGTTTATACAAACAGTGCAAGGGGAATGTCAACAATATATTCTATGCCCAATTTGACAACACGAAAACATTACCGTAGCCATGACAACACTTTAAGAGAAACTGCAAGGGTCATTACTGAGGTCAATCATTCAAATATGTTGTTTGGTGAACTTAGTTTGCAAAGTTCATACAAACAGTGCAAGTGGAATGTCAACAATTTACTATGTGCCCAATTTGACAACACAGAAACATTACTGTAACCATGACAACACTCTTTGGGCAACTGCAAAGATTATTACTGGTACAGAGGTCATTTGTTTAAATATGCATTAAAATTGGTAAAAGTTCTGGCCACATCATCTCTATCCTTAAATACACACTTTGAAAGAGGCGGTTAACCAGCATCTTGACGTGCTTGAAACCTATCCCTAACAGAACACAGTTAATCAGCTACCCCAAACAAAAAACAGGCTTAAGTCTGTCTAGCTGATACACTGAGAAACAGTTCCTTCACACAGAAATGCAACCTTTAAGTCATACATGACCTTCCACCTAATAAAAGATTGCCAGTGGAAAACACAAACGTAATAAAATTATTTTCTTTTGTATGCTACAGGCATGGTAAACATATAGCCTAATTTATTATACAATACACTATACATGTATGCTGAGCTTAGTTTGCAAAGTTTATACAAACAGTGCAAGTGGAATGTCAAAAATTTATTCTATGCCCAATCTGACAACACAGAAACATTACTGTAACCATGACAACACTTTTTGGGCAACTGCAAAGGATAATTCCTATTACAGGGGTCAATTGTTCAAACATACATCGAATTGGTAAAAGTTCTGTCCGTATTGTCTGTATCCTTAACCATGTTAACTAGTGGTGTAACGATTCATCGATAGCATCGATGTTTGCATCGTCAACTACGCGATACGAGTGCATCGATACAAAACACATTTAGGCAATATATCAGGATATTTATATCGCAAGGGTCCACGATACATCGATGTATCGCCACAAGAGACAATATATCCCAATACAACTTCAATCCTAGTTAAAGTTGTAAGGAGTATTGCATTAGGAATAGGAAGGGAGTCTCTTTGAAATTCCGCTGAATTTTAAAAATAAATTGAACTTTTTATGAATTTTTTTGTGTCTGTTATCTTTGTTACATGGACAAAGGAGTTGGTGTATAAGTGAAAGAGTGTGAACATTTTTCAAACTCGATGAACTGTAGAATACTTGTCTTTAAGTAATTGAAATATGTTTTAGTTGTCTGACAAATAACACCATTTATTAACAACTATGAACGATGTCCTAGCTTGTTAAGAAAGAGAACAAAGAGAAGATTAAATTAAGAAAGCATACTTAAGAAAATATTTTCAGTGATTCTGACAACTATGACAACTATGTATAAATTACATTCAATTGTTTGTGACAGCATCGGTGCAGAAACACACCTTCCCAAAGGAAACTTCGGTTTCAAACTTACATATGTTAGATCAAAGTATACTGAATATGTTTGACTGTACTTTAAAAGCATTAAAGGCTGAAACTTTATTAAATGAACAGCTTTTTAAATGTGTGTGTGTGAATGTAACACAAGATCTGCTGTATAACAAATAAAGATTCAGTCATTTTATCTATCATTTATGTTCAGCTATTAGAAATTGTAAAGTATCGGGATACGTATCGTATCGCCATCATTGTATCGTGATGATAATTGTCTCGCAGGTTCCTTACCAATACTTTCATGATATATCGTCTCGCCTAATTAAACTGGTATCGGGATATATCGTCTCGCCACTTAGACAACGATACACAGCTCTAATGTTAACACAACATATTTATAAAGAGTTGGTTAACCATCCTTTTGGTTTGTATGAAACCTATCCCTAGCAGAACAGGTCCATCAGCAATCCCAAAACATGAACAAGTCTAAAGTCTGTCTAACTGATAAACACAAACACAGATAACTGGATACAGAATGACACTTTCAACCTAATAATGTCTAGTAGTAGAAAACACGAATTTAGCAAAATGATTTTCTTTTGTAGGCTATAGGAATGGTAAAGATATAGTATAATGTATTAAAATATACTACACTTAGTTTGCTAGGTTTATACAAACAGTGCAAGGGGAATGTCAACAATATATTCTATGCCCAATTTGACAACACGAAAACATTACCGTAGCCATGACAACACTTTAAGAGAAACTGCAAGGGTCATTACTGAGGTCAATCATTCAAATATGTTGTTTGGTGAACTTAGTTTGCAAAGTTCATACAAACAGTGCAAGTGGAATGTCAACAATTTAATATGTGCCCAATTTGACAACACAGAAACATTACTGTAACCATGACAACACTCTTTGGGCAACTGCAAAGATTATTACTGGTACAGAGGTCAGTTGTTCAAATATGCATTAAAATTGGTAAACGTTCTGGCCACATCATCTCTATCCTTAAATACACACTTTAAAAGAGGCGGTAAACCATCATCTTGATGTGCTTGAAACCTATCCCTAACAGAACACTGTTAATCAGCAACCCCAAACAAAAAACAGGCTTAAGTCTGTCTAGCTGATACACTGAGAAACAGTTCCTTCACACAGAAATGCAACCTTTAAGTCATACATGACCTTCCACCTAATAAAAGATTGCCAGTGGAAAACACAAACGTAATAAAATTATTTTCTTTTGTATGCTACAGGCATGGTAAACATATAGCCTAATTTATTATACAATACACTATACATGTATGCTGAACTTAGTTTGCAAAGTTTATACAAACAGTGCAAGTGGAATGTCAAAAATTTACTATGTGCCCAATTTGACAACACAGAAACATTACTGTAACCATGACAACACTTTTTGGGCAACTGCAAAGGGATAATTCTATTACAGGGGGTCAATTGTTCAAACATACATCGAATTGGTAAAAGTTCTGTCCGTATTGTCTGTATCCTTAAACATGTTAACAAAACATATTTATAAAGATTTGGTTAACCATCCTTTTGGTTTGTATGAAACCTAGCCCTAACAGAACAGGTCCATCAGCAATCACAAAACAAGAACCAGTCTAAAGTCTGTCTAACTGATAAACACAAACACAGATAACTGGGCACAGAAATGACACTTTCAACCTAATAATGTCTCATAGTAGAACACACGAATGTAGCAAAATTATTTTCTTTTGTAGGCTATAGGAATGGTAAAGATATAGTATTATGTATTAAATATACTACACACATGTAAGCTGAACTTAGTTTGCAAAGTTCATACAAACAATGCAAGTGGAATGTCAACAATTTAATATGTGCCCAATTTGACAACACAGAAACATTACTGTAACCATGACAACACTTTTTGGGCAACTGCAAGGATTATTATTACTGGTACAGAGGTCAGTTGTTTAAATATGCATTAAAATTGGTAAAAGTTCTGGCCACATCATCTCTATCCTTAAATACACACTTTGAAAGAGGTGGTTAACCATCATCTTGACGTGCTTGAAACCTATCCCTAACAGAACACAGTTAATCAGCAACCCCAAACAAAAAACAGCCTTAAGTCTGTCTAGCTGATACACTGAGAAACAGTTCCTTCACACAGAAATGCAACCTTTAAGTCATACATGACCTTCCACCTAATAAAAGTTTGCCAGTGGAAAACACAAACGTAATAAAATTATTTTCTTTTGTATGCTACAGGCATGGTAAAGATATAGCCTAATTTATTATACAATACACTATACATGTATGCTGAACTTAGTTTGCAAAGTTTATACAAACAGTGCAAGTGGAATGTCAACAATTTATTCTATGCCCAATTTGACAACATGGAAACATTACTGTAACCATGACAACACTTTCTGGGCAACTGCCAGGATGATTCTTGATACAGAGGTGAATCGTTCAAATACACATTGAAGACAGTAAATGTTCTATCTGTGTCATCTCTATCCTGAAACACACATTTTGTAAGAGATGGTTAATCATTTTCTTGGGGATGTTTGAAACCCATCCTCAACCAAACAAAGTTCATCAGCAAATCTGACAATATGAACCAATCTAAAGACTGTCTTACTGTAATACTGATATTCTTTACTTGACAAAGAAATGCAAACTTAAGGTCACACCTTTAACCTAAAACATGTTTGCCAGGGGAAAACACAAACGTAATAAAATTATTTTCTTTTGTAGGCTACAGGCATGGTAAACATATAGCTTAATTTATTATACAATACACTATACATGTATGCTGAACTTAGTTTGCAAAGTTTATACAAACAGTGCAAGTGGAATGTCAAAAATTTATTCTATGCCCAATCTGACAACACAGAAACATTACTGTAACCATGACAACACTTTTGGGGCAACTGCAAAGGATAATTCCTATTACAGGGGTCAATTGTTCAAACATACATCGAATTGGTAAAAGTTCTGTCCGTATTGTCTGTATCCTTAACCATGTTAACACAACATATTTATAAAGAGTTGGTTAACCATCCTTTTGGTTTGTATGAAACCTAGCCCTAACAGAACAGGTCCATCAGTAATCCCAAAACATGAACCAGTCTAAAGTCTGTCTAACTGATAAACACAAACACAGATAACTGGGCACAGAAATGACACTTTCAACCTAATAATGTCTCATAGTAGAACACACCTTTGTAATGTAGCAAAATTATTTTCTTTTGTAGGCTATAGGAATGGTAAAGATATAGTATAATGTATTAAATATACTACACACATGTAAGCTGAACTTAGTTTGCAAAAGTTCATACAAACAATGCAAGTGGAATGTCAACAATTTACTATGTGCCCAATTTGACAACACAGAAACATTACTGTAACCATAACAACACTTTTTGGGCAACTGCAAGGATTATTACTGGTACAGAGGTCAGTTGTTTAAATATGCATTAAAATTGGTAAAAGTTCTGGCCACATCATCTCTATCCTTAAATACACACTTTGAAAGAGGCGGTTAACCAGCATCTTGACGTGCTTGAAACCTATCCCTAACAGAACACAGTTAATCAGCTACCCCAAACAAAAACAGGCTTAAGTCTGTCTAGCTGATACACTGAGAAACAGTTCCTTCACACAGAAATGCAACCTTTAAGTCATACATGACCTTCCACCTAATAAAAGATTGCCAGTGGAAAACACAAACGTAATAAAATTATTTTCTTTTGTAGGCTACAGGCATGGTAAAGATATAGCCTAATTTATTATACAATACACTATACATGTATGCTGAACTTAGTTTGCAAAGTTTATACAAACAGTGCAAGTGGAATGTCAACAATTTATTCTATCCCCAATCTGACAACACAGAAACATTACTGTAACCATGACAACACTTTTTGGGCAACTGCAAAGGATAATTCCTATTACAGGGGTCAATTGTTCAAACATACATCGAATTGGTAAAAGTTCTGTCCGTATTGTCTGTATCCTTAAACATGTTAACAAAACATATTTATAAAGATTTGGTTAACCATCCTTTTGGTTTGTATGAAACCTAGCCCTAACAGAACAGGTCCATCAGCAATCACAAAACAAGAACCAGTCTAAAGTCTGTCTAACTGATAAACACAAACACAGATAACTGGGCACAGAAATGACACTTTCAACCTAATAATGTCTCATAGTAGAACACACGAATGTAGCAAAATTATTTTCTTTTGTAGGCTATAGGAATGGTAAAGATATAGTATTATGTATTAAATATACTACACACATGTAAGCTGAACTTAGTTTGCAAAGTTCATACAAACAATGCAAGTGGAATGTCAACAATTTACTATGTGCCCAATTTGACAACACAGAAACATTACTGTAACCATGACAACACTTTTTGGGCAACTGCAAGGATTATTACTGGTACAGAGGTCAGTTGTTTAAATATGCATTAAAATTGGTAAAAGTTCTGGCCACATCATCTCTATCCTTAAATACACACTTTGAAAGAGGTGGTTAACCATCATCTTGACGTGCTTGAAACCTATCCCTAACAGAACACAGTTAATCAGCAACCCCAAACAAAAAACAGCCTTAAGTCTGTCTAGCTGATACACTGAGAAACAGTTCCTTCACACAGAAATGCAACCTTTAAGTCATACATGACCTTCCACCTAATAAAAGTTTGCCAGTGGAAAACACAAACGTAATAAAATTATTTTCTTTTGTAGGCTACAGGCATGGTAAAGATATAGCCTAATTTATTATACAATACACTATACATGTATGCTTGAACTTAGTTTGCAAAGTTTATACAAACAGTGCAAGTGGAATGTCAACAATTTATTCTATGCCCAATTTGACAACATGGAAACATTACTGTAACCATGACAACACTTTCTGGGCAACTGCCAGGATGATTCTTGATACAGAGGTGAATCGTTCAAATACACATTGAAGACAGTAAATGTTCTATCTGTGTCATCTCTATCCTGAAACACACATTTTGTAAGAGATGGTTAATCATTTTCTTGGGGATGTTTGAAACCCATCCTCAACCAAACAAAGTTCATCAGCAAATCTGACAATATGAACCAATCTAAAGACTGTCTTACTGTAATACTGATATTCTTTTACTTGACAAAGAAATGCAAACTTAAGGTCACACCTTTAACCTAAAAACATGTTTGCCAGGGGAAAACACAAACGTAATAAAATTATTTTCTTTTGTAGGCTACAGGCATGGTAAACATATAGCTTAATTTATTATACAATACACTATACATGTATGCTGAACTTAGTTTGCAAAGTTTATACAAACAGTGCAAGTGGAATGTCAAAAATTTATTCTATGCCCAATCTGACAACACAGAAACATTACTGTAACCATGACAACACTTTTGGGGCAACTGCAAAGGATAATTCCTATTACAGGGGTCAATTGTTCAAACATACATCGAATTGGTAAAAGTTCTGTCCGTATTGTCTGTATCCTTAACCATGTTAACACAACATATTTATAAAGAGTTGGTTAACCATCCTTTTGGTTTGTATGAAACCTAGCCCTAACAGAACAGGTCCATCAGTAATCCCAAAACATGAACCAGTCTAAAGTCTGTCTAACTGATAAACACAAACACAGATAACTGGGCACAGAAATGACACTTTCAACCTAATAATGTCTCATAGTAGAACACACGAATGTAGCAAAATTATTTTCTTTTGTAGGCTATAGGAATGGTAAAGATATAGTATAATGTATTAAATATACTACACACATGTAAGCTGAACTTAGTTCGCAAAAGTTCATACAAACAATGCAAGTGGAATGTCAACAATTTAATATGTGCCCAATTTGACAACACAGAAACATTACTGTAACCATAACAACACTTTTTGGGCAACTGCAAGGATTATTACTGGTACAGAGGTCAGTTGTTTAAATATGCATTAAAATTGGTAAAAGTTCTGGCCACATCATCTCTATCCTTAAATACACACTTTGAAAGAGGTGGTTAACCAGCATCTTGACATGCTTGAACCCTATCCCTAACAGAACACTGTTAATCAGCAACCCCAAACAAAAAACAGCCTTAAGTCTGTCTAGCTGATACACTGAGAAACAGTTCCTTCACACAGAAATGCAACCTTTAAGTCATACCTGACCTTCCACCTAATAAAAGTTTGCCAGGGGAAAACACAAACGTAATAAAATTATTTTCTTTTGTATGCTACAGGCATGGTAAACATATAGCCTAATTTATTATACAATACACTATACATGTATGCTGAACTTAGTTTGCAAAGTTTATACAAACAATGCAAGTGGAATGTCAAAATTTTATTCTATGCCCAATCTGACAACACAGAAACATTAGTGTAACCATGACAACACTTTCCGGGCAACTGCAAAGGATAATTCCTATTACAGGGGTCAATTGTTCAAACATGCATCGAATTGGTAAAAGTTCTGTCCATACTGTCTGTATCCTTAACCATGTTAACACAACATATTTATAAAGAGTTGGTTAACCATCCTTTTGGTTTGTATGAAACCTAGCCCTAACAGAACAGGTCCATCAGCAATCCCAAAACATGAACCAGTCTAAAGTCTGTCTAACTGATAAACAAAAACACGGATAACTGGACACAGAAATGACACTTTCAACCTAATAATGTCTAGTAGTAGAAAACACTAATGTAGCAAAATGATTTTCTTTTGGAGCCTATAGGAATGGTAAAGATATATAATAATAATAATAGTCCATTTATATTGCGCGTTTATCCATGCACATTGCATGCTCAAAGCGCTGACATATAGTATAATGTATTAAAATATACTACACACATGTAAGCTGAACTTAGTTTGCAAGGTTTATACAAACAGTGCAAGGGGAATGTCAACAATATATTCTATGCCATATTTGACAACACGAAAACATTACCGTAACCATGACAACACTTTTAGAGCAACTGCAAGGGTCATTAATGAGGTCAATCATTCAAATATGTTGTTTGGTGAACTTAGTTTGCAAAGTTCATACAAACAGTGCAAGTGGAATGTCAACAATTTACTATGTGCCCAATTTGACAACACAGAAACATTACTGTAACCATGACAACACTTTTTGGACAACTGCAAGGATTATTACTGCTACAGAGGTCAGTTGTTCAAATATGCATTAAAATTGGTAAAAGTTCTGGCCACACCATCTCTATTCTTAAATACACACTTTAAAAGAGGTGGTTAACCATCATCTTGACGTGCTTGAAACCTATCCCTAACAGAACACAGTTAATCAGCAACCCCAAACAAAAAACAGGCTTAAATCTGTCTAGCTGATACACTGAGAAACAGTTCCTTCACACAGAAATGCAACCTTTAAGTCATATCTGATCTTCCACCTAATAAAAGTTTGCCAGTAGAAAACACAAACGTAATAAAATTATTTTCTTTTGTATGCTACAGGCATGGTAAACATATAGCCTAATTTATTATACAATACACTATACATGTATGCTGAACTTAGTTTGCAAAGTTTATACAAACAGTGCAAGTGGAATGTCAACAATTTATTCTATGCCCAATCTGACAACACAGAAACATTACTGTAACCATGACAACACTTTTTGGGCAACTGCAAAGGATAATTCCTATTACAGGGGTCAATTGTTCAAACATGCATCAAATTGGTAAAAGTTCTGTCCGTATTGTCTGTATCCTTAACCATGGTTAACACAACATAATTATAAAGAGTTGGTTAATCATCCTTTTGGTTTGTATGAAACCTATCCCTAACAGAACAGAACAGGTCCATCAGCAATCCCAAAACATGAACCAGTCTAAAGTCTGTCTAACTGATAAACACAAACACAGATAACTGGACAAAGAAATGACACTTTCAACCTAATAATGTCTAGCAGTAGAAAACACGAATGTAGCAAAATGATTTTCTTTTGTAGGCTATAAGAATGGTAAAGATATAGTATAATGTATTAAAATATACTACACACATGTAAGCTGAACTTAGTTTGCAAGGTTTATACAAACAATGCAAGGGGAATGTCAACAATATATTCTATGCCATATTTGACAACACGAAAACATTACCGTAGCCATTACAACACTTTTAGAGCAACTGCAAGGGTCATTACTGAGGTCAATCATTCAAATATGTTGTTTGGTGAACTTAGTTTGCAAAGTTCATACAAACAGTGCAAGTGGAATGTCAACAATTTACTATGTGCCCAATTTGACAACACAGAAACATTACTGTAACCATGACAACACTTTTTGGGCAACTGCAAGGATTATTACTGCTACAGAGGTCAGTTGTTCAAATATGCATTTTAATTGGTAAAAGTTCTGGCCACACCATCTCTATCCTTAAATACACACTTTGAAAGAGGTGGTTAACCATCATCTCGACGTGCTTGAAACCTATCCTAACAGAACACAGTTAATCAGCAACCCCAAACAAAACCAGGCTCAAGTCTGTCTAGCTGATACACTGAGAAACAGTTCCTTCACACAGAAATGCAACCTTTAAGTCATACCTGACCTTCCACCTAATAAAAGTTTGCCAGTGGAAAACACAAACGTAATAAAATTATTTTCTTTTGTATGCTACAGGCATGGTAAACATATAGCCTAATTTATTATACAATACACTATACATGTATGATGAACTTAGTTTGCAAAGTTTATACAAACAATGCAAGTGGAATGTCAAAAGTTAATTCTATGCCCAATTTGACAACACGAAAACATTACCGTAGCCATGACAACACTTTTTGGGCAACTGCAAAGGATAATTCCTATTACAGGGGTCAATTGTTCAAACATGCATCAAATTGGTAAAAGTTCTGTCCGTATTGTCTGTATCCTTAACCATGGTTAACACAACATAATTATAAAGAGTTGGTTAATCATCCTTTTGGTTTGTATGAAACCTATCCCTAACAGAACAGAACAGGTCCATCAGCAATCCCAAAACATGAACCAGTCTAAAGTCTGTCTAACTGATAAACACAAACACAGATAACTGGACAAAGAAATGACACTTTCAACCTAATAATGTCTAGCAGTAGAAAACACGAATGTAGCAAAATGATTTTCTTTTGTAGGCTATAAGAATGGTAAAGATATAGTATAATGTATTAAAATATACTACACACATGTAAGCTGAACTTAGTTTGCAAGGTTTATACAAACAATGCAAGGGGAATGTCAACAATATATTCTATGCCATATTTGACAACACGAAAACATTACCGTAGCCATTACAACACTTTTAGAGCAACTGCAAGGGTCATTACTGAGGTCAATCATTCAAATATGTTGTTTGGTGAACTTAGTTTGCAAAGTTCATACAAACAGTGCAAGTGGAATGTCAACAATTTACTATGTGCCCAATTTGACAACACAGAAACATTACTGTAACCATGACAACACTTTTTGGGCAACTGCAAGGATTATTACTGCTACAGAGGTCAGTTGTTCAAATATGCATTTTAATTGGTAAAAGTTCTGGCCACACCATCTCTATCCTTAAATACACACTTTGAAAGAGGTGGTTAACCATCATCTCGACGTGCTTGAAACCTATCCCTAACAGAACACAGTTAATCAGCAACCCCAAACAAAAACCAGGCTCAAGTCTGTCTAGCTGATACACTGAGAAACAGTTCCTTCACACAGAAATGCAACCTTTAAGTCATACCTGACCTTCCACCTAATAAAAGTTTGCCAGTGGAAAACACAAACGTAATAAAATTATTTTCTTTTGTATGCTACAGGCATGGTAAACATATAGCCTAATTTATTATACAATACACTATACATGTATGATGAACTTAGTTTGCAAAGTTTATACAAACAGTGCAAGTGGAATGTCAACAATTTATTCTATGCCCAATTTGACAACATGGAAACATTAGTGTAACCATGACAACACTTTCTGGGCAACTGCCAGGATGATTCTTGATACAGAGGTGAATCGTTCAAATACACATTGAAGACATAAATGTGCTATCTGTGTCATCTCTATCCTTAAAAACACATTTTGTAAGAGAAGGTTAATCATATTCTTGTGGATGTTTGAAACCCATCCTCAACCAAACAAAGTTCATCAGCAAATCTGACAATATGAACCAATCTAAAGACTGTCTTACTGTTATACTGATATTCTTTCTTTGACAAAGAAATGCAAACTTAAGGTCACACCTTTAACCTAAAAAACGTTTGCCATTGGAAAACACAAACGTAATAAAATGATTTTCTTTTGTAGGCTACAGGCATGGTAAAGATATAGCATAATCATAAAATACACAATACATGTATGTTGAATTTAGTTTGCACAGTTTATACAAATAGTGCAAGTGGAATGTCAACATTTAGTTTATGCCCAATTTGACAACACGGAAACACTACTGTAACCGTGACAACACATATGGGCAACAGTTAAAAATTCCAGATCATAAATATGTTTCTCTCAATTAACTAATAACTGCTGTCAGTTTTACCGGATCAGTACCCAAACTGGTGATTTCTTTCAAGTTGGACACGTGAAGGTCCGGTTTAGAATGAGCCTTCAGTAACCCATGCTTGTCATAAGAGGCAACTAACGGGATCGACTTGGTTGACACATGTCATCGGTTCCCTATTGCGCAGATTGATGCTCATGCTGTTGATCACTGGATTGTCTGGTCCAGACTTGATTATTTACAGACCGCCGCCATATAGCTGGAATATTGCTGATTGCGGCGTAAAACTAAACTCACTCACTCTTTCAAGTTGATAAAGTCAAACCAATGCATGTCATAAAAATGCAGCAACATGTTTTATCAACATATTTATTCCTTAATAGATTAGATATTCCTCAAATTTATGGTGTTTGTTTGATGTTTAACACCACACTCGGCAATATTCCCAACTATATGTCAACAGTCTGTAATAATAATCGAGTCTGGACCAGACATTCCAGTGATCAACAGCATGTGCATCTACGACATTGGGATACGATAACATGTGTTAACTAAGTCAGCAAGCTTGATCAACCGATCCTGTTAGTCACCTCTTATGACAAGCATTTGTTGCTGAGGATCCATTCTAACCTGGATCTTCACAGGTCTCAAATTTATGAAACAAAGGGCAGCATGCATAACAAGTTCTTGTTTCTTCTTAGAACAACATTTTGACAGCAACACCCTTATCAAGCTGGCTTTGATCATGACAGGACAGTTTGATCAATGAGTGAGTGAGTGAGTTGAGTTTTACGCCGCACTCAGCAATATTCCAGCTATATGGTGGCGGTCTGTAAATAATCAAGTCTGGACCAGACAATCCAGTGATCAACAGCATGAGCATCGATCTGCACAATTGGGAACCGATGACATGTGTCAACCAAGTCAGCGAGTCTGACCACCCGATCCCGTTAGTCGCCTTTTACGACAAGCAGTGTTTGATCAATGAAATATATACCCTGAGTGTTTAACAAAATCACAAGACTTGTGCCCTTCTGTCATCTTTGTTATAGGAAGTGATTGGGGGAAGATGCAGAAATAGCACTTAAATGTCATAGTAAATCATCTTCCACAGAAATGAACAGATGTATGCTGAGCTTAGTTTGCAAAGTTTATATACTAACAGTGCAAGTGGAATGTCAACAGTGTACTCTATGCCCAATCTGACAACACAGAAACATTATTGTAACCATGACAACACATATGGGCACCAGTCATGAAATATGCAAGGATGACCTCCAATCTTATCTAAGATGGCATTTTGGAATAAAACTAACATGTTCTTGAAAAGGAACATGCAATAACACTGGCCAGTCACTTCATGTATCATCTGATCAGATGCTTCTCAGATCATGAACTCTTAGCTTCATTCAGTGTCATCTTGTGGACAATTAGCTGAGCTTACTACAGGGGCGTAGCTACCATTATATAAAAAAGCACGGGCTCACACATGATCGTTGCTAAAAAGGTTAGGCAAGCCCCCAATACTATCTAAATAATAAAGCTTTGCATACTATCGGGCTTACACGGAAAAATTGGCTTGCTACGCGCCTGTAGAACACCAAACAGAACTTACTGTCAAGCTTTAGACTAATAGCTGAAGTAACAGACTATGTACATTGTATATGTAATATTTCTTGGTCCACATCTACCCTGGGTAACTCATAATTAATAGTGTCAGTATCAACAGAAACTTTGTATCCTTTGTCACCACTTGGACCATGGAGCTGTGGTGGTGGTGGTGGTGGTGGTGGAATTGGGTTTAACATCGTGCTTGAGAATTTTCGCTCATATGACGACGTGCATGCGTGTGTATGTGTATGTGTGGCTGCTTGTACTAGCCCAGACAGAAGCTGGTTTTATAGTGCTACCCCACTGAGATACCATGCCGCAGTGAAGCATGAATACCCCACTCAGACACATTATACTGACTCTGAGCCGACCAGTCCTTGTTGTACCCATTAATGCCGAGCGCCAGGCAGGGACCAACAAGTACCATATTTTAACGTCTTTTGGTATGACGCGGACGGGGATTGAACCCGCGACCTTCCGCACTCCGGGCGGACGCTCTAACCACTACACCACTGAGGCGGTCGGACCATGGAGTGAGTGACTTTACTTTTATGTCGCTTTTAGCAATTTTCCAGCAATATCGTAGTAAGGGGACACCAGAAGTGGGCTTCGCACATTGTGACCATGTGGGGAATCGACCCCGGGTCTTTGATGCGATGAGCCAATGCTTAACCACTAGGCTACCAAACACTCCACGTGGGCCATGGAACCTTTTTAAACAAATGACTGCCCTCTCAATGTACAATGGATTTTAACAAAGGAAAATGCAACATAATACAAACCTCCATTGATGACTTTGTCTCTCCTAACACTGGCAGAATAAGACTGAGAACATCTTCACGGTTTGAACCAGCATATGCCAACCCAAGACTGGAACAAAACAGACGCATGTCAACTTACAACCAGTAAAAACAATGTGGGTTGGCATTGGGGAATTGTACTGACATCTCCTGCAAATCCTATTTTCAGTAAGCTGGGCAGCACATAGACACATATTGAATGAGAACTGAGAAGGATGTAGTTATGATATTTGATTAAATTAGCAGATAAGCCTCAGTTACGATATCTGATTAATCTAATTGGAAAGACTGCAGTTTTGACACATGGCTCATTCAAATGAAAAGACCACAGTTATGACACTGGATCAACTCTATTGATGAGACATAAGTCATGATGTCTGATTAATTGAACTGAGAAGAATGCAATTGTATGTGATCAATTCAACTGAAAAGACTGCAGCTTTGAAATCAGTTAAATCAACTGAAAACCCAGCAGTGAATGGGTACCAGGTGGGATAAGTCACATGACTATCAACCTTCTAACATGCAGCTTGGGTTAAGGGGGGTAATAATGTCCAAGCGTTTTGAGCATACACAAGTGTGTCGATATAAGTGCTTTATAAATGTCCATTATCATTATTATTATTGAAAGATTGCAGTTAAGATATCTAATGACTAAAACAGGAACCCAAGCAGTACTTACCCCACTATGGCTCCTATCCTCATCACATTGCTGGTGTGTACAACATAGTCGGTCAGCAGGGCCAGGGCTGGGTCACACTCATTTCTCACTCCAGAATTGACAATACCACATGCTAGAAGGGCACCAGCCTACATCATAAACGCAAAAACATTACATTGATGTATAGTCACAACCTATAATTCTGATAACTTGATAATTTTCATTTTTTTCTTTACCATCTCCATCTTCACCTTGAAATATTTGGCCTGAATACTGTTCTCTTTCAGCAGCACTGTACATACATTTGACCAGAGTACCGATCCACAAAGCGTTCGTAACCTGACCACCTGTTGTAACTCTACAATTTATCATCGGCTTAAGAACGTTTTGTTGAATGATATCCAGAGCCTATTAATCATTAATTACCACACAAGTTCAAGAACAGACTCATGCATTTACTTGTTACAGGTGTGAGTGAGTGAGTGAGTAAATAATCGAGTCTGGACCAGACAATCCATTGATGAACATCATGAGCATCGATCTGCGTAAGTGGGAACCGATGACATGTTTCAACCAAGTCAGCGAGCCTGACCGCCTGATCCCGTTAGTCGCCTTTTGTGGCAAGCATGGGTTGCTGAAGACCTATTCTACCCCAGATCTTCACGGGTCTGTTACAGGTGTGTGTCTGTGCTTGTCTGCATGTGTGAGTGAGTGAGTGCATGCATGGTTCCGCAATATTCCAGCTACATGACAGAACCTTCTAGGCTGTGACCCATAGAGCTGGAGCATGTTGGTACCCCATCAACCAATTCACCGAACCAAACAGTCTGTTAAATTGATTCTTACAACCAACACAGGTTGCTGCAGTCCAGCTCTAAGCTGGAATCCCCAGAGATTTACTAAATGCCTATACATAGATCATCAAGTGACTGTCTGTACCTACCTTGATGTGATCTTCGGCAGAGTAGAGATATTTATCAATCTGTGTGAGACCTCCATCAACATCCCACAGCAGAATCAGACCAAGAGATGCCGTCGCACTCAGCATACCTACAAGCACATTTAGGTTCAGACACCATATTACTAAGTTGTTTTTTTTATTGTTTGTAAACATTCCACATCTCATTTTCACAACCACACTTTTAAGAGCACTATAAAAAAATGCTTCCATATTCCTTCACGTCACAACTGGTCGAATTTTTAACAAACATAAACATGCTAGTATTCAATTACGATTATTAGTCAAGGTGTTCCTGTTATAGTTCTAATGTTGAATAATGTAATTTTTAGAGTAAAATTGATATTTTATACTTATCCTGACTCATGTAGGGTTTCACAGACACAAATATCAACTTCTAAAGAATCTCTGTTATCAACACTGTGGCTCGGATCAAAAACACAAGTCAAATTCTATTTTGTAAACTTCACATGAAATTTCAGCATACCATGTTCCTTGTTCTTGTAGAGCCATTTGTTTCCATCTTCCATAAGGAGCTTGTCTTGACCAAATGCAGCATTGACAAACCCATTGACAAATGACGAAGCCAGGTTTTGGCGGGCTGAGTCCACGTTAGACGGACCAATTGAAGAACCTAAAGGAAATGACAGGCATTATAAATCATTATTGACACATGTTGGTTGGTTAGTTTCTTGTTAATGCCATACTCAGCAATATTCCAGCTATATGGCAGCGGTCTATAAATAATCAAGTCTGGACCAGACAATCCAGTGATCAAAAGCATGAGCATCGATCTACGCAACTGGGATACGATGACATGTGTCAACCAAGTCAGCGAGCCCGACCACCTGATCCCATTAGTCACCTCTTACAACAAATATAGGTTGTTGACCAATTCTTATCTGGATATTCACGAGTTATTGAAGATTGTACCACATACATCCTGACATGACCCCTAGAAATCTAATACCTTTAGATGCAAAGGCGACAGGGTGCAGACAGTTTGTAATGAATATTGGAATAATACATGTGGAATAACAAGTAAGGCCAAATAAAAAAATGTTGTGGTTCCGATTACACCTTTTTAAAATTTAAGTACAAACTAATAACACATGTATCAATGTGTAATTGTTTATTCAATCAAGCTTGCGGTCATCATGTCGACTTTCTCTATCACAATGACCGATATCTGCCAGTGCCAGGAAAAAACAATTATATCTGAAAGCTTATTTTATTCAGTCTGCTTAAAAAAAATAGGGTCGGCACCAGAATTCAAGGGTCGGTCGGGTAATCATTTTTTTTTAGGCCTAACTTATAATTATACCTGCACAATTAGACCTTCAGAAATTGTGAGACTAGAGTTTACAAGAATTTGGTCTCATTAGTTAAGCCAATAAAGAGTTGTTATGTACAATAATATACAATAAATGATGCCAGGGTCAAAATTAGGCTCGTAAATTCAAAACCTTGTCAAAGATTGTAGTGCGGGACCTAGTGATTTCTCTTGGGAGACAAAGTTTGGAGTTCCACTTACGATTTGGCTCAAGATGACTCTTGTAGATATCCTCTGGTACTTTGGCCTCTATGATGTCCAACTGTAAAACAAATCACAATTATTTTTACATTCTCAAAATAACTTCCAAACAGAGCAGGTATTTTCATTTGCCAGTTTCTAAAACCACGTAGAACCAATGACTAAATGTAACTTTGTTGTTTGCTTACCTTCCCTGGCTTATCACATTTTCACAGCGAAAACAAAACATGTCCAACAGTAATGTATGCTGAACTTAGTTTGCAGAGTATATATGTTGATACAATGCAAGTGGAATGTCAACAAATACTCTTTGCCCAATCTGACAACATAGCAACACAAAGTTACCATGACAACACTCATGGGCAGTACACTATGCAGATAATGTATGAGAGTACATGATGGATTGTTGATGGATTGTGAATGAACTTACCTCCCTTGCAAGAGCCAAGAAGTTGTTGTTGAGGTGAGCATTGGACATGATTTCCATGAGTTCATCAAATTCTTCCATGTCATCATTCAACTCCAGGAATATCTGCTGCCGCCCAAGCATGTAGGCAAGCTGTTTCTGAATTGTCCTGTAAGTAAAGTAATAACACTAATTAGAAGAACATGCATATTGATAATGGTTTTACATCACTTTCAGCAATAGTCTAGAATTATCATTGCAGTGGACCCCACAATTGGTCTTTACACATTGTAGCTATTTAGGGAATCAAACCCAGGTCTTCAATGTGACAAGCAAACACTTCAACCATCAGGCTACCCCACCTCCCTGTTGTTGACAACAGACCATAGTACAACTGATTTCAATTCGCAGCTTAGGTTAACAGTCATGCAGCCATCTCATCCTATTGGGCACTCATTCACTATGGGTCAAAAGCATAATCTTTGAACAAAGTTGTTTGAAACAAGAGTCATCAGAAGATGACAAATCCCCCCCGCCCTCACAAATTTGAAAGAACAAATCATCTGACAGTTGATATTTTTAGGCATAAATCATGAAAAGTTAAAATGCCAAAAATC